TATTCAAAAGTGTTAAAAAATATAAGGTTTTCGTAACTAACGCCTTAATTGGAACATTTGTAATTGTTTTTTATAAGTGTTTGAATATAGGAACATTACAGATAAGTCAATTTACCGTAACAGGTATTTACAAGTGATTTTACTTAACAGTATGTATACTTATTTGGATAGTGAATCAAGTTAATGCTGCACCCAATATTTGTCTTGTATAATAGTGTAACATTATCATTATTATATTGTCAAAACTTACAATGGACTAGACGTAGTTATAATATTAGCTTGTTTCGTTTAAATAGCGTTAAGCTCACAAAATCGAGGAATTCTTATTTAAAACGCAATAAAGTATAAAAATGTCTTAATGACAAAAGAAAGGAGGAGGAGTCATGAGCCAGGATACGGCAAACTAATAACAAATGATCACGATTTTATTGGCCACAAATTGATAATTAAGGCTAAATTTAATTACATTGAATGCTTTTAATAAATTGAAATGACTTTTATAAGTTTGCAAATGAATTTTTTAGTTCAACCGGCGGTTAATTTATTGCAACCCAGTTTCACACAAAGCGAGGAAACCCACAAAAGGACTATAATAAAGGGTGAATAGCTTATAATGAAGCTACCACTTACACCGGCCTTGTAATAAAGACCTGTTTACGCTAGATATTTTACCCTAGCATTTCATTTTTTATATGTCCGTGTCGATGTTTAGCGTTTTTTACACGCAGCCATTGAAAAACTTCATTGTAGCTGTTTTAAAATATACGAAGGTTTGGTACAAATTATTTATACACAAAGTAAGAAATTTAATATAAACGTAGCCTCTAGATTTAGCGTCACTATCTTAAATTAAATTGAAGATTTGCAATATGTGAGCATCATATCCCCCCCCACAGGCAAACAATTTGAATCTCTTTTTTGACTTCTACCACAACAAATGTGAAACTTTGAGCTACGTATTGTTGACGTACAAATAACCACCTACATATCTTGGTAATTTTCTTATCATGAAACTGTCTTAATTAAGATCATATAAAGTAAATAACTCTATGATAAATTACGTAATCACGTCATATGCGAATCAAGAGAACATCGTTCTAATTTCGTATGATTCAGAGCAGTCAACGTCTTTTAAGAAAATTTTACATGTTTTAGTTAATCATTTTGTACTAACAAAAAATTTAATGAATGACAATTTTATAAATCTATGAAAATCGGGTATAATTACTAATAGATCCTCTATCTAACTTTCAATTGATATATTTATATTACACTTTTTACAAGCAAAAATATTAGAACGTTCTTCAATTACCTCGAATGACCCCGAGATGTGAACTTACAGCATACAAATGAATTAATTAATATGAACATTTCTTACTTGATACAGAAGATTGCACTGAATGTTCTAGACAAATATGTCTGCACTGCTTTACAATATGATTAAATTCAAATTTTTCGTACGTCGTTTAAATAGCACTAGAGTTGTGTACGAAAAATATTGTGAATTCATTGAGGGTTGTTTTTGTTAATAAAACAAGTTAAGCCTCGTAATTAGCTACTACTTATATATTAATTGTAACTCAATTAACTTATGGATTAGCTTTTACATTTTTGTTTATACATATTATTTTTTTTAGATTTTACTTTATTTTAGTTATAGTTACATGTTATTTTGAGTTTTTTTTGTTAATTATATATGCACTTCTTGTACTTTACCCTCTGTAGGTGTTTTTTTTTTGTTCCATATTAGGGTTGCGTGGAAGAAATCGCTTGTTAGCGATAAGGCCGCCCGTTGCCTAATAACTTATGTAACCTGCTTTTTTATATGTATGTTTTTGAATAAGTTTACAAAGTGTATATAAATAAATAGATATATAACAGCACATTAAGAAAATCGAATTTCCGTAGCATTATTTTAGAAAAGGTAACAACACCAAACCCGTGATATGTACCGGAAATGTACTAAAACAATAACTCTTTTCGAAGTCATTAACAGTGGTCAGCATATAAACAGATTACTTTGTAAGAGTAAAAGTTACATTAGGTAATAAACGTTTACTGATTGCAGATGTCCAGGATGCGCGTGCGCTGGGAAAGTGATACGCGCTGCGAATGTATTATTGTATTATCTTATATGATACAATCTTGAAAAACAGTAGCACTTTCGTGACTTAGGGACACGAAACTGTTTCTGATGCCGACTTTTATAATACACTAAATGTTACGGTATACTTTTTGTTATGTTTGATTACATGAACCATTCAATGATTACGTATGGAAGTATATTGTCTATTAGAACGTTATGAAGTCTTGACTCTTGACATCGTAAATTATAGCTATTATATTTCATTTTATTTTATTATGTTCGGGTAATGAATTGTTCTTGGTGATTTATTTTAGATTTTCATTATATGAAATTTATTTATGTAATATTTTTATATAGCAAAGCATAATATTTCAAATAAACATAGCATTCATGATAAACAGTTGGGATCTGTATGCCAACATTTACGATGTAAAACGCGGTTTCTTATTTGGAAATATAGACGAGACCTAGCAAAAGATACTGTCCCAGCTCTACATGATGACTCAGGGATGTCTTCTAGTACAATATAATATTCACCTCCCTCTACAAAAGAATCGTAGCCCGTAGCCATTTCCTGTCAAACAGGAAGCGTAGCAGTAAAATGATGCTACGCTTTTGTTTGTAAATCCGATTTTCGAAGCAAAAACACTTAAAACTCGTTCACAATGTTACGCGTTTTAAATTGATACTCATAAGAGAATGTTGGTTGCATATCGCTTCCTTGTCTTACGTACGCTAGTATAACTAATATATATTCAAGTGTTTGTGCGAATTAAGGCAATTTTATATAAGCTCGTGTAAAATAAACACCGTATACTATGAAATATAATTAATGAAAAATTAAAAGATAGGTCATGTTGAAGTTTTTCAGATGAAATAGAGCGCGGGATATCGACTCGTAGTTTTATACGTGCAAGTTGAGTAAGACCGGGAGGGATGCTGCGCGCTACAGCCACCGCTACGGGCGTAGTACGTCCGGACAAAGCGTCCCGCCCTTTCCGCTTCTGCCTACGTGGTAAATTTAAACACCGGTTCAATTAAAGAGCAGATATCGAGAGATAAAACGAGCACTGTTGATTGATTAATTGTGGTATATTTACTTTGAAATAACGGCGGCTAGTTGGAGCGTGTATCGTACGTGTGAAGCCGACAGCACGGTTCGCGGGATACTGGCAGCCTCCGACTTCCGCGCGACGAAGCGCGGGGCTGCGCGGTACTTTCATTTAACGTTACGCCGCCCCTGGACATGGGAAAGCTCAGTCATTTCCACGCAAACCCAAGGGTGTAGTTTGTGTGAAAATTAAATTATATCGCAGTATGATTGCTACTACTGTACAGAGAGGTTATTGAACGCTAAAACCAAACTATAGTTCCAAGATCCTAACAGTATACAATGCAGTAGAGACGAAATTCAAAATGTTTATTTCTTTTATCTTAAATAAGTCGAACAAATAAAATCTGAGTCAATTTTAAATACCATTTTAAAAAACCATAAAACACAATTTTGTATTATTTTTAAATTATCTAGAGCAAGTGATCTCTTTCATTTCAGAACTGGCTAATTTCGACAATGTTTTTAAAGGAGGCTTCTTTTAGCCGAGAAATACTTATACCTGTGCAAAATGTAGGATCTGGCATTGTTCCAAGCCAAGAGTACGATGATACTTTCAAACTACAGCGGGCTTAAAATTAAAACAACATGAATACTCTAACAAAAATTCATGGAGTTGAAAATATACGTTTTATTCACTGATAAACTACATTATATTCTTCTTGGATATATATTTCCTGAACTACGAGAATCGGGACAGACTCATTTTTTTTTATATTTTAAGTAATCGATCAGTGTTCTGTGCTGATTTTGGTCAGACATCTGAGTAATGAAATGACATACATCAATGAGTAACCGGTACTCGTGATTCTCTTAGAATTATCACTAAATAAATTCTAAGCCCTCGTTAAACGTAAATTAATCAATAAAGCTTTTTTATAAATTTGACGAATACTTAAATGATCCTAATCCTTAGGATTGATTTGCTCCAGTTCAAACAATTTGTATGATTCTAAACTTGGCGATTAAAGAGTGGCGAAAAGTTTCTTGTCAGTTCTTCTTGCCCTACGCCCTTGACTTGCGAACTGGTAGTAAATGTAAATTTACAATTATTTTACCTTTTTTTTTATAAGTGTACTTGTTAATACCTATATGAATAAAGATATTTTGCGTTTTCACGAGCGCACATAGAACAAAATATCCATTGATAAAATAATTTAAATAAGAGATTACAGATTTTTAATACTGCATGACCTTGTCGTGAACATGTAATACTATTATATTCTTGTGAATTATTTTTACTACATAACGAAAGAAATTCCTTTTTGATAGTAGCTGTTCATTGCAATGACTATTATCGAACGACTCGGCCCACTGGGAGATAAAAATATAAAATACTAGCAGACCGGCCAAGCGTTGCTGTGGCTAAGGTAGGATAACACCAGTCATGGGGACCACCATGCTTTATTGGTGGTTATGCCATTAAATTGTAGCTTATGTGAAACGTTGGTACTTTCAACACAGCGCCATCTGTTAGAATTGTGACTATCAAATAATAAACAAATATTTTGCAATAAAATAATATTGCGGGTATAAATTGAGATGTAAGCTATCCTATCTTTTAAGTTGGATCAAACTGCACACGGTGTGCAAATTTGATTGATATCGGTTCGGTAGTTTAGGAGTCCATAGCGGACAAACAACGTGACACGTAATTTATATATATTAAGATGTGTATTCCTACCTACATTTACGGATTTAAAGTCAGCTAGTTCTAATTATGATAAGCAATAAAAACTTAAGAGTAAAAAAGATACAAAAAATATTCGTAAAATATTTTATTTCTCTTAACATAAAACATTATTAACCCTTAGCTTTAGGATTACTTTTTTTTAAGTTTTTCTTAATTCCCTGTTTTCCACCTTCTTTTTTGCTATTCAGCTTTCCTATCTGTTTTTGTTTTTTATTATTATTTTTCAGTTTTTTTGCGGCTGCAATCTCAAGTTTATCTGTTATTTTATTTTCATTCTTGTTAATTTGATTCTGTACGTTTGTGTTATTTTTGTTTTTATTTTTCTTCTTGTTCTTTTTTTTCGGTGACCCGCCACTGCTTTCATTAGATTGTGCGTTTGCATTTGCTTCATCAACCACAACTGGTTTCGTCTGTACTTTTTCTTTATTACTTATTTCTATTTTAGCCTTTCCTTTTGTTTCGAGGTCTTGTTGTGTATTCTGTTTTGTCGTCTCTTCTGTGGGTTTGTCTTTTTTGCTATTCAATTGTCCTATCTGTTTCTGTTTTTTATTGTTATTTTTCATTTTTTTTGCGGCTGCTATCTCCAGTTTATCTGTTATGTTATTTTCATTCTTGTTAATTTGATTCTGAATGTTTGTGTTCTTGTTGTTTTTATTTTTCTTCCTGTTCTTCTTTTTTTTCGGTGTCCCGCCATTGCTTTCATTAGATTGTGTGTTTTCATTGGCTTTATCAACCACAATAGGTTTCGTCTGTACTTTTTCTTTATTACTTTTTTCTATTTTCGCCTTTTCTTTTGTTTCGGGGTCTTGTTGTGTATTCTGTTTTGTTGTTTGTTTCGTTTCTTCTGTGGGTTTGTCTTCTTGTTTAGTCTGGTTACTTTGACCTTCGCTTTTTTGTCCTTTTTTATTTTTCTTTTTATTCTTCTGTTTCTTCTTTTTCTGGTTATTTATTGGCTCTACGTTTCCATTCGTAGTAGGCTGTGGGCTGAAATCAAAGTTATACTATGTCAAAAAGAATAGAAAAAATATATTACGTGTAGAAGATTGCCTAATTTCCTTCTCACTGTACCTACAGATAATGAAATTTTTTCCAGAATAAAATTAAGACAGAGCTTTATTGTTTTTATATTTTTAAGTGTGAATTATTTTTCAAAGTGTTATGAACAGTGATGCTTTTTCATTTACCTGTCATCTGTTTTCTGCTTCTTCTCTTTGGGTTGAGCTGTATTCGGCTTTGCAGTTCTCTTTACACCAGTCTGAAGTTTTATCTTTTGATCTTCTGGAACATCACCATTCTGTTCTGCTTCTTTAGTTTCAGAATTTTCATTTTCCTGCCCAGCTTCTTCTTCATCATCTTCATCTTTAAAAGGCTCAGGCTGTAAATTTAGTTAGTAAGATATAAAGTTAATATTAGAAAAAAATATTACCCATAATTATAATATTTTTACAGGATAAACAAACAAAAGATCTTTCTATGAGAGTACTTACTATAACATTTGAGAATTTTTTAAGTTTTGCAACAAAGAATCCATCCATATTATGGGTGTGTGGGTAGAACCTTCTTGTTAACTTCAATGAGGGATGGAACCTATGATGTCTATATTTCTGGAATCCTTCAGTTCCAAAATCTAAACCTGTGGGTACCAACTTTACATTACGTCTCTTTAGAGCGTAATTAACTACCCACTCATTTTCTTCAGGCAAAATTGAACAGGTGGAGTACACAATGTATCCTCCGGTGCTTGATTTAGCATTGCAGCAGTCAATAGCAGCTAATAACAACTGCCTTTGAAGATTGAAACATCTCTGTATATCCTTTTGATCTTTAGTAGTTTTAACACTTGGATCCTTAGCAATAACTCCTGTTCCTGTACAAGGAGCGTCTAGTAGTACTCTGTCGAAGCCCTTTATGACATCTGGAAATTGACGGCCATCATAGTTACAGATGACTGCGTTGACTACTCCCAATCTGTGGAAATTTCCAACTATTGCTTTTGTTCTTTCCTTATTGGCATCATTGGCAAAGAGTGAACCAGTATTCTTCATAATTGCTGCAATGTGAGAGGCTTTACCACCAGGTGCAGCGCACATGTCTAAAATTCTTTCATTTTCCTGAGGGGCTAAGGCCATAACAGGCAAGAAACTAGATGCACCTTGCAATATATAGTGTCCAGCTAAATATTCAGGTGTTGCACCCACCGGGACAGTGGAACTGTACACTACCAAGCCAACTTTACTCCATTTACCGACAGGATCTAGATTAACACCTCTGTTTATTAAAGCCTGGGCCAAATCTCTTCTCCTAGTTTTAAGGCTGTTAGTTCTAATTGTAATTGGCCTAGACACTTCACTGGCTTCTAAGAATTCAATTAATTCCTGTACAGGAAATATTTGCATCAGGACCTCCATTAGAAACTCATTGTAACTGTAGTACAAACAGAGGTCCTTGAGAAGTAACTCTGTATATTCACAGCGGGATCTGCCCTCTTCCTTGAGGCGGTTAAAATCATTTAAAACTGATACTATGTCTTTTACCCTTTGGTGTACATCTTGTAAAGATGTAGGATTTTGAAGCTCCTCTTCGCTTGGGAATGCAAAAACATCTTGCTTGGCAATATTTAATTGCAGTTCCTCATCTGCTAATTTCTTGTCCAACCTTTGTTTCTGTTTTAGTTTAACATTGGCTTTTTCAATGGGAAGCATATCTTCGTCTTCATCATCTTCACTATTATCGCTATCCTCAGATGAATCTGAATTGTAAGATTTATTTGAATCTCCAGTTTCTTCATTATCTAAAGTTTCATCTTGCTCATCATCAGTGTCATTAAACAGGTCATCAAGTGTACCAACCTATAGAAACACAAAAAGTAATTAGCAACAATTTTAATTATTACAAGACCCATTACATGATCATTTTCATTATACCAACTGATTATAAAACATAGTAAATCATTAAGTTTGCTCACCTTATAATTTTCTTTACTTGGTTTCTTAGTGTCTTTAATTTCTTGTTCTGAATCATCATCTTCTTTACTTGAAGCATCATTCTCATCTTCACCCAAACCCTCATCATCACTCTCATCACTATCTGGCTCTATTTCCTTTAATTTAGCTAACCCTTTCTTCTTCGGCTTTAACCATTCCTTATTGTCATCAGTGAAACCTGAAATGTAGATCATTTGAGATATAGCCTATATGGGGCAACTACATGCAAACATTTTTAAATAAAATTCTTATAGATAAAAAAATTACCTTTAGGAGTCTCATCGTCTAAGGCACTGACAGCTTCTTCTGTGTCATTCTCTGGCTTAGGGTTCTTTTTAGCTTCTTTCAAGGCTTTTCGTTTTTCTGCTAGTTCCTTTTTCTTCTTTAACCTTCTAGCAGCTCTTTGTTTCTGTCTGTGACTCAGCTTTTTGTCTTCTTTATCATCAGCAACTAAAAGAGAAGAAACATTTTTTTACACGGCGTTGTCCCAAGGTTATTGAGAGTCAGCTATTAATTATTGTTAAGTTTTAATTTACATGTCTTATTTAACCTAAATTATAAACTAAAAAGAACAATATGCACACTTACGCAGTTCTTTCTTGAATACTGGGTCAGGTTGTTTTTTTGCCTTTCTACCAGGACCTTTCTTAACTTTTTTGGTTTCATCGAACTTTGCTTTTCTACCCATTATAGCTTTGATTGATAAGGATAATATAAATTAATAGTATTTATTAACAAAACACGTGTGCAAGTGCCGATCGCACCATGCCGTTTCCAAAAGGCCTACGTACTGTCATATGTCAATTTGACTTAATTTATCATGAATTGTGTAATGACAATTGTTGTGTGACATAGACTATAGTGTTCCACCAGACGCTTACGCCAAGTACACTAATCCTACATACGTCATCTGACCACTTTAATAATTACTATAGGTCTACCAAATCTGATGCAAAAATTTAAAAAAGCGTTATGGCAATAAAAAAAAATCGTCAAGTGAAATTTCGAGTAATTTTGTTTTGTTTATTCTTTTAAAATGGTCGAAAATGTCGAAGAAACCTCTTCGATCGCAAGTAGGACATATTGCGTTTTCCAATGTTTATTCAAGCATTCTTGGTCAACTAGATGCAGATCATACAAATATCATTTGGCCGTGCAGTAATGGTTAGTAGGAATGACAGTCTTGATACTTTGGTTTAGGGATGTTTCGTGGATTATATTATGTACTTATACTAAACTTAGTTTATCAGGGTTTCTTATACTACAAATAAACTTGGATAGTTTTGATTTAGAATTGATCAGAAACAAGATAAATGAGTTGTACACTGTTTCTCTCAAATAGGGGATCGATGAATGGTGAAAATATTGTGAACATGTAATAAAATAAAATCAATTCATAGAACAAGAAGGTTAATTGAGATGAGGAGGAAAGGTTTATTATAAATACGGGTTGAAGACTTTTTATGGTTAATTTGGAACCATTTTAAGTTCTTAATTATTATAAACTCATGAACAGTACTAAATTTAACCATCATTTCATCTTGACATTTTTATATTTGCATGTTACCGCTATAAGAAAAAAAAAAGTATCAAAACGTTTTACCAATTTCCCAGTATAAGCAGGTCAATTTAGTTTTTCCCTTTTTGCCATAGATCCTGGTAGACCTATAGTATTATATAGTCATTTTTACGTTTTGCGTCAATTTTCAGCGTTTATATGAATTTAATAATAAAAATTATATAACCCATTTTTAAGGCTTTTGAATCTCATCCCAATTCGTTATATAGACAAGTAGCAGTGCATTACATTACAATATCATACAGATATTATAATGTGTAATTTGTTTCCATTCTATGGAGTGGCATATATAGTGCGTTTTCCATTTTTCCATTACAGCACTAGAGCGCATTTATGCGGCATAATGCTCAACGTTGAATATTCCAACTACCAGCAACGCTTTGCACAATTGAGCACTCTCAAAACTAATGCCCTCGCGTGTTTCTCGCAATCAATACCAACACAGTGACAGAAAATTGACCAGTGTTTTTCTTTAAGTTGGCATTTATCGAAATTTTAGTTAGTAAATAGTATTTATTGTTGAAAAATTTGTAAGGCTTTCATTTCGTCGTAGATTTTGAAAATAATTAAAGTTATTTCAAACTGCTAAAAAAATAAATATAAGTATGATGAAGGTATAAATAGTTACTTTTTTATATTCCAAATATATAGTATACAAATTTATTTTACAGGATAATATTTTGTAAACATTGCAATGGTTTTGAAAAAGTAAATAATTTTTTTTAGAAATCATTTAAAAAAAAATTACTCAAAACTAAAATGATGTAAACTTCTTACATGAAACTAAATATTTTACTGTTAATTTAGCTTGTTAAAACCTTATAATATTCTATAACGGTTTTCTCTTATTTCAGTAAAAAAATGTTAATGAAATAATTTGATTATTAAAATAAGCGTAAAAGTTTTTCAACCAATTATTATTGTTAACCATATTATTTATACATTAATGAGGTTGCTAAATCTATTCAGAACATTTTTTTTCAACACTGAGCATTAGCGCACCTCTGCTGATGCATTTGAAAACGGTAATTCACGTTCCAATTAAGCTTCAGCATTATGCGGCATTGCTTTGCGGCACTGAGTCGCATTATGCTTTGATTGGAAAACGCACATATTCTGCGTACGTATAGTTTACAGTTGACACTTTAGTTGTCAGAACTATAAAAGTATTAGTCTAGGCCTTGCTGACATTTGTTAACAAATGAGTAATGACAACTGATGCAATAGATTATGGATCGTGTAATTTGGTAATTTGTACACTCAGTCTCACACTGTTTCGCGTTTGATCATTGATGTTTCAAAATTCACATTTCTTTTATTAACTATATAGAAATTGACTGCACTTCGCAGGAAATTAAGATTAATGCTTAGTAAAAACTTCATATAGAAAGACAAGAGTAAATAATGGTGACATTTAGCTGTGTTTACTGCAGAACGGTACGTCACATACATAATATTATCTAAAATGTATTAATGATGATAGAGAAGATTAATAGAAGCAACGAAGAAAAAAATGACTACTACAAAACCCTATATTTTTGCATCACGAATTTTAAGGTACATATTTCATTCAAATGATGTTATTTCAAGCTACTTCAATATTATTGCGTTATTTTTATTCAGTTTTCAGGGCCATTACAGAAATAGACTAAGAGATTTGGAAAGTCATTGTCAATGTCTCTTAGTTTGGCAAAATAAAAGATCATTCTTTACATTGCCAAAACAAAAGCGATCGCGCGAATATTGTGGGAGACAACTAGTAGGGTAAGCATAATATCATCTGTTATCCAGTTACAATTTTAATATTAAGCAGTTTTTTACTTACATATTGTTGCTTCTATATTTAAAACATACCTTTACTCTGTTTACAGATTCTCAATGGATCAAATGTTTGAAGTAGTGTCAGATGTAGAAAATTATTACAAATTTGTACCCTGGTGTAAAAAGTCATTAGTATTGACAAAATCTCCGAGTAAGCTCACAGCTGACCTTATTGTAGGATTTCCTCCTATTAATGAGAGTTATACATCTAATGTAACTCTATTAAAACCACACTTAGTCAAAGCTGAATGCACAGATGGTAAAATGTTTAACCATCTTTTAACATTATGGCGCTTTAGCCCTGGCTTGAAAAAGGAACAGAAGTCATGTGTTGTTGATTTTCAAATATCTTTTGAATTTCGTTCAGCCTTTCATTCTCATTTGTCCAATTTGTTTTTTGACCAAGTAGCTAGACAAATGGAGGGTGCATTCATAAAAGAAGTTGAAAGAAGATATGGACAACCAACAATGGAACCAAAAAATTTACTTCTAAATAACCAAGCATTAAAAAGTTGACACAACTGATAATGTTTCTAGCCAAATTGTTAACATAGTCGCTATATGTTTAAGAAATAGTTATTATCATGATTCATCATATAAAATAAAAAATGGGTTGATTTTATTGTTATAAATAAAATATATAAATGTAATTAAGCTTTATATTTACATTTGTCCACACTGTGATATTGTAACAGGTATTTTTGGTTTATTATTTGGACCAGTGGGCACATTTTCTATTTTTCTCATGACTAAAAGTCCATCTATTACTCTTCCAAACACAACATGCTTATTATCAAGAAAATTACATTTAGCACAAGTTATGAAAAACTGACATCCATTTGTGTCTTTTCCACTGTTTGCCATAGAAAGCAAGCCTGGTGAATCATGTTTTAATGCAAAATTTTCATCTGCAAATGTACTGCCTCCATATATACTCATAACACCAGTTCCATCACCCTAAAAAGTTAAAAGATATATATATACATACTTCATAAGTGTTTTCAAATTTTTATACCAATGAAGTCTATGTTGTGACTATTTATTGTAATTTATGTGACTGTCCTTTTCTTGAAAGGACAAATATTAATAAAAAGTTGTGTCTTAATGAAATGTACTTACTAACATTGACAAAATCACCACCTTGTATCATGAAGTCTTTAATAACTCTATGAAACGTTGCACCTTTGAAACCTAGTGGAACTCCATCCCTCCTATATTCTCCTGTACAAAACTCTCTAAAATTTTCACTCGTCTTTGGCACAACATCAGCAAATAGCTCAAAAATCATTCTGCCTATTTCCTAAAATAATACTAACATTATTAGAAAGGTTACTTACATTACATATACATTTATATAACAAATCTGGAGCTTTACCAATTACATGGAATTTACAATTATACAGATTATTATTTTTTGTATGTAACAATCTGCTCAGCCAATGTTAAGTGATACCGTTGCCCATGGATACTCACTTTGCGAGAAGGCTCTCAACTGTGTTGTACAAAATACAATAAATATCTACTATTAGCAAAAGCTTCAGAAAAAATCTTAAGTGTCGAATTCTATAAACATTATCTTTATGAGAATAAAACCTATTGTTAAATCTGTTTAAATAACAAATTAACGCTGGGTAATTTTCAGATAATTATAAAACTTACAGTTGTTCCAACGGTTATATCAAAAAATACCACAGGATTGTTCGGATTACGAAGTTGGGATTGAATTTGGTTCCAAGTAGGCATTTTAGATGATAACAGTTATTAGTGTGCCTATGTTAATTGTATTATGTAGTGACTTAATTCAATTATTTGCAAAAATTAAAGGAAAATTAAACATAACCTGAACTATTAAAATGTTCTGTGTTTATTCACAAAGTAGTAACTAGTATACAGATAAAAGCGTTAAAGATGGGAGATAGTGCTGTACCACAGCTTATAAATTACAATGAAGTTTTATTTGTCAGATATGTATAAGTTTATGATATGATGTGTTTCTCTTCTATTTCTTCTAAGTTCTCGTATATTTCTTGATTTTAGACGGATTAACGTTAAGATTCAGGGTGAACATAAAAAAAACGAGACTGACTCCCATATGTCAAAATCCAACACATTCTTGTCGTACCAGAGTCATACTTATCCTAAAACTCAAGTTTCATATCTTAGATAGTGAAATATTAAGAATATTATTATTCGTAATAATATAAAAATATTATTTCGTAATTTGCTAATTCCTGTTTCAATCATGCATAACCGTGCATAACCATGATAAACCGTAGTAGAAGGATTATGGTTGGGGCTATTAATCAAGATCGTTACTTAAACTGTCTTCAGCTCCTCAATTTTACACCTTGAACCTTTATTGTTCAACTAATCCAACACTGCCAGTGACGTAATTCTGCTTCAAAAAGACCTATTTCAGCTGGTAAAGTGGTGTCATTTGAACGGTGTTAAGGGTCACTCTTAACACAGACAAGTGCCGTGTTATGTGTGTGCTCTAAACAAAGTAAATCACATTCGTGACCTGGGAATTACCTTGGACGGTAAACTAATATTCCACATCGACAACATTACCATTAAAAGCTTTAATATTCTGGGTTTCGTGACTTTGTCCTATGCAGCTGCAAAACTTTAAAACTATCGTTGCTGTAAACAATGCCCTCGTTCGTAGTACTTTGGCATACTGTAATTTATTGTGAAACTTCCACTATGAAGTCCACAAAAGCGTTTTTTGCCAATTGTATTTTAAAGACAACCTTACAAAAAAGTCCATCGTAAAGCAATCGTCTACAGCACCACAACTTAAAGCTACTGTCGTAGGTATCTGTGGAACAATCCTAGACTCACCTCATTTCTTGTTTAAAATGAACATTTCTGTTCCTAGAGGTTTTGGGGTCCTACTAAAAAAATGGCTAGATTGTGCAATCGGCTGTAAGGGCCCGAACAATTTTGACGATTACAGGAAGGGCATTTTAGGGTCTTTTGCTATGCTTTTTAATTTAAGGACTTTTTGTACTATTTAGTTACTAAAGTTATTATTTATAAGCATTATGTTTGTGCACCCCACCTAATAGCAAAATTTGTTAAAATTTAACTATCTACTATAATGTAAATAGTTTATTTTCTTTTTCTTATGTGCGGCTATAAATAAATAAAAATAAATAAAAAATCCTTCATTTGGGTTCAACAACTTTCGGTTGGACAATTACAGCAAATAAAATATATTTTTTGGACCGCCACCACGTCCTCCGCTAGCAACTGCCGTATTCGTTCTTCATCGACGTATCGTTATCGGGTTTGAGTTAAAACATTTCATTTTAATAATACTTATTTATTTTACGGCTAAACAATAAAGTAATATACATTTGTGAAAATATAACATCCACGGTTAACTCGCGTGATAGACAATAAATTCTAAAATATCATTATGTACAATGTCAAGAAATCGCAACTTCACAATAATCATTAACGGCTAAAATATTTCGAGTTTCGTTCGTTTTCAGGTAAAACAAAAACATACATGACACGGAAGCGAGTCTACGAATAATAAATACTTTAGTGGCAAGAAGTGAAGGTCGAAATCCATAAATAGTCTTTGAGGGCACAGACTGGGCGTTTTTTTCCTTCGGCCCATCGCGTGGGACGCTCGTTGATAGTATAAATTCTAAAGGTAGAGAGTGAGAAGCAGTCTGCCATACTACAACGAATAGCAGACTACTGTGATGCGGACGCTCGGGTCGCTTCGAACGGGACGAAGTGGCACGAAGTAGCGCTTCGGGAGCGAAGCGGGTCATCGGTCTCCACACACTCGTTGAGATTACAGAGTCAAGACGCACGGACAATATTTACAAGTGCACGTCTGTACTTCACAGGCCGCTTTGCCGCGCGTCAGCAAAGTCTCACTTTATTAACACAGCGGTCCATGAAGTTCTTCTTCCTCTTCGTTTGGGTGCCGTCGTCGAGCGGCGGCGAGGTATCGTCCGGCACACCCTCGCGGCTGCGACTCTGGCGCGCGAGAGGGGTCGGGCCGTCCGCCGGCCTCCCCGCGCTCGTGGGACTCGGTGCTGAGTCTCGAGATTTCCTCACTGATGACCGTCGACTCCGTTGCGGTCTGAAAAGTGTACTCCTGTTAGCAATGTTGTAAATTTACGCCTAAAGTTGAATATTCCGCCGAGTGTACCTGACGGGCGCGGCGGCGGGCGTCGGCTCCAGTCAATCGGCCTTGTCGCTGGAGCGGCTCTCGGTGGAGTGCATGCGCTGGTACGAGGGCCCTCGGGGGAGGGCGGACACGGCCGCCGGTCGGAGGCTCTCCAGTCGGTTGGCCAGGTTCGACTTGCCCCGGAGGAAGCTGCGCGTTTAAAATATAGATTAATTGAAGTAAGGGAACGACTTTGTTTTATTTAGTGTTAATATAAATGAAATGTTAAAGTTGGTTCTGGTTTTTTCAGAACAGAACAGAATTGTAAAGAATGCGAACCTATTAAATGTCACAGATAAGTGGAAAGTATAATCGGAGATTACCTCTCCAGTTTCTCGACACACGCGTCCTGGTAGTCGTGGATCCACCTGACCCCGTTGAAGTGGCACACGGCCCTCATGTCCTCCGGCAACTCCTCCGGCTCGGGCCATTCGAAATTGTCGATTATCGGGACGATGTTGCACTGCGACTGCAAGGCCGCCACGATTTCCTGCATTCGATTCGTCATCATCGACGTTTTACTCATTTGGCCAAAAATAAAAAATTACATTTGGATATTTCGGCTAAACTGAAGTGTAGCATACAACAGTTGATTACTAAGGTAATTATTCAACTAATTTAGTTAAAGGCAGAAAAAGTAGGAAACTCACCCGATGAACCCAGTCCTTCTGCTCGTTGTCGTGCTTGCACCTGTCCAAGGCGTTGGGCGTCAGCACCAAGAGGAAGTGCTTCGCCTGTTTGATGCTTTGCAATAAATTATTATCGAATTTGCCCGCCTCCAGTCTCTCCACGTCGATGAAAACCGTGAATCCCCGGACTTGGAGGTGGACCTTCAGAAGGCTGGCCAGCTGGGAGCCGTTGGATCTTCTATAGCTGACGAACACGTCTAGGTTCTTTTCTAAGTTCTCTTCGCCTTTGATCGGAAGTCTGCTTTCGTATGCTGAAATTCATTATTATCGATATTACATACTTTAAAAATAAGATTTTTTATTCATCATATTTAATTATTTATTTATTCACAAATCATACATACACTATCCTTAGAGTACTAAACCAATACGATAATATCAAAATATGTAATATAATAAAATTCATATTCACAATATCGCTTGAACTCACTCTTGAACGTTGATATTGTTCGCTGTTGCTGTTTATAAATTACCTACTATTGTAACAAATGAATAAAACATATATATTTTGGCCTTTAAATAAGCCCTTTAAATATAATACAAAACAGTATCACTACTATATTTAATTAATATCCTTTTGTATTTTAGTTTGTATGGAGATTAATGTTTTATAATTTCCATGAACAAACCCTAAGTTATTATTAGAAATGTAATTTTTCATTCGACAGATGGCTCGGTTTATTTCGGTTGACGCGAACGTTCAAGGTCGTCGCCGACCCTTTTCGCTTCTCGCTTCTCAATGAACCGACTGTATTTCCGAACAATAAGTTGACTTCCATTACTCCCAAATGTCAAATACAGGCAGTACTTGACTTACGTCGAAATATGTTTTGACACTATTCCTCAAGGATACGTCATTTGTTTCGATTTCCGGCATAGGAGAATTCACTTGTCTTGTGCAAATTTGGAGAATGCAATGAAAATTTTTGAAGCAAATGATCCTAGTTTTGAGAGAAGTTTCAACGTTACTAACAAAATTTGTGCAGCCTATCAGTGTTACCAAGATCTATATGATAGCAACAAGAAAGAAGCGAAGCAATCTAAAATTGATAGTTTCTTTAAGCCAATAGTTTAATTTATTATTTTGATTACATATTAAAGTTTTATAATTAATAACACACAAATACCAAAAATATAAATGTAATACATACCAAGTATGTACATCTTTCTTAATTTCGAGTCCGTGTGGATCCTAACCCTTGAGCTAGACCTAGAGACACCAATATGTCTCGTATTTCGAGAACCCAACATGCCGATAGTACGAGGACTGCCTGACAAGACTGCACTGTAGTTACTTCGTACTTAAGCAACAATCGATCTTTACACAATGACACTTTTGTGACTTCGACCCGATATTTTTCCGGAAATGGAAAACGGAACTTAAACGGAAGCTTATCTAGATTGTTATACTCGTAATGATAGCTATTAAAACTCACCCCGTATAGCGTTCAGTATCCTCAAGCGGTGGATGCTGTTGAGGATGTGGCACTCCTTCTCCAGCTGCTCGTCGCTGAGGCCCCGGATAGACTCCTTGTCCACTCCGGCGTTGAGCATGGAGTACGTGTAGATGGTGTACTCCAGGCCGATGCCCTGGAGGAAGTCGTTGAGGTTGCCCGTGTCCCGCGAGCTGTAGTCCGCCATCTTCTTCAGCTGCTGCAGTTCTCTCGTGAATCTGTAATTCCGTCGGAGTTCACTTTGACGCCTGTGACAGCAGGTCGACGCTGAAAGGCGACTCATTCAAACGAAGATCGCTCACCTTTTCCTCTTGATTCCGTTGTGTAAGCCGATGTCCTCTTTGAGGTTCTCCTCTGTGATCTGCAGCAGAAGGTCTCCGTCCACCCGGCTTTCGTAGAAGTTGGTCGCGTACTCCGAGAAGCCGATCTGCTTGACCCATTCGCGGACGTCCTCGATGGACCACAGGGGCACCTGCTGCGACAGCTTGTGCGGCACCTCTTCGCCTATCAGCCTCAGAGCTTGGGCGGCGTACTTCGAGGCCACGGCGTTGGGGCAACTCGCAACTTTCTTGAGAGACTCGATCGCGCCGATCTCCTTGAAGATCTCGGTGTTACCCTGCTGCTTCTTAATGCCGGCCTCCATGCAGAAGTGGAAAGCGGCCAGGTTCCGGGCCTCCTCCCTCTTGGAGCTGAGCACCGGGACGAGTCTCTGCAGCCAGTTCTTGCTCTGGCCGTGGGCGTGGGCGAGGTTCGAGCGAGCGAATTCGGACGGATTGTGCGAGGTCACGAAAGGTTCCACCAGGTCCAATGTTCCGGACTTCAGGACGGCCGCTTCGATCTCCTTGTTGGCGACCAGCACGGCGATCGCCAGGCACGCGTAGTACTTGATGTTGTCGTCGTGGTGAAACGCCAGAGGGAACAGCCACATCGGGACCTTCCTCTTGATCATGGCCTCCTGGTTGTCGGCCCCGCCGTACAGGGACAGGTTGGCCAGGGCCGTGGCGCAATGCCGCAAGGTCTCGATGTCGTTCTTCCGGCACTCGAAGAGCACGGCGTCGAGGCCTCCCAGCTTGATGACGTCGCCGCAGGTGCCCTCGCTGTGCTTGAACAGGTGCTCCAGAATGCCGGTGCCTATGCGGGAGTGGTCTGCGTTGGCCTGCTTGGTGCACGCGCAGGCGACGTTGACGACCTTCTCGAGCCCGTTTTCGACGACGTGCGCCCTGTTCTCCGTGGTCAGGCACTGCTCGAGTAGTTTCGCGGAGGAAAACTGCAGCTCGGGGTTCTCGGACTCGAGACAGTTCTCCATGAGAATGTCGAGGCCGCCGGACGTCCGGAGCGCGTTGCACAGGGTGTAGCCCAATTCGTGTCCGTAGGTGGGGACGGCCCACGCCCTTCGGAGCATTTCGTTTAATTTGTTGAAATGCACTCCGGCGCTCTTCATGTCCATCTTGTTGTTCTTGATGGCGGCGATGAATGCGTTCATCCGATGCGAGTACTTCTGGATGGCCGAGTTGACGTCTTTCTCGTTCGAGTTCGCGTTCAGTTTGTCTAGATCCTCGAACGTCAAGTCGGTGAGGTCTTCGTCGCCCGGTTTTATCGTCCCGTTCAACAGTTGACTCATCTGCGAAGCGAACGAGAGAAGTTAACGTCGCACCTACGTCATAAGCGATACATTTACGCTCCGGTAGAATTAATTCTTGTTTACTCGAGAAACTATAACATTTGACTAGTTCACGATTATTTGTACGGCTGAGATTTAATTACCTCAGTTTTTAAAAGGTAGAGGAATTTTGTTGGATAAAAAGACAAAACTATATCTAATATAAAGATACATTAAACTCTAAGTTATCGTCATGAATTTACCTGTGAGGATAGCAGCATGGACTTCGTTGTGAGGTTTTTACTTAAGATTGTCATGTTCGAGTGCGAAGAGCTCTCTTTATGGCTAAACATGCCGCTGGAAGTGACGGTCTGCCTCGCTTGTGACGAAGCCGTGGCCTTCTTCTCCGCGCTGAAGGCTTCCGTGTGTAACCTAGAACTCGTCGCGGACATGTTGTTCGCCTCTTGAGCCGTCACTTCTCCGGCTTGCAGAGATCGCTTTTCCTGAAATAGTGTACACCGTTTATGAGTCCGTGAATTATAATTGCCACACTACCCAATTATGTTTAAATTGTCTGACGAGGAACCGCGGCGCGAAGTCGTTTGGAAGTAGGCCAATCGCGTGATACCGGTGATAATATCAAAGTTTGTATACTGTCACCGTATGTACATAAAGTAGTTTACCGAAGGATCCGTCGTCCTCGGAGCGAAGCGCGCGAGGACTCCGCGCCGCACGGGCCACGGGGCCGAGCCGCCCGCGGACATTCCGTGTCTAAATTTAAGCGGCCTATTCGCGGACGCGCATGCGCAATCGTCGACTTCCGCGTGTGCGCGCAACGGTCAAACGTTGACTGAGAAGCGAAGTTGCCGATAAGCGGATAAATGATCTCACCGCCCTCGGCGATCCTCCGCGACGTAACATCCTCGCCGACCAGGCCGCCAATCGCGAGGCCATGGCTTGTTTATATTGTCGGCCGAGAAATGCTAGAACATGTTAGGCCAGTGTTTACGACGCGAAGCTCCTGCTTCTACTGAATAACGTAAGCTCCCGCCTTGCGTCTGCGGGCTATCGATCTAGGCCTCGGGGTCGCGTCCTTCGGCGCGCCTTAACGACTCCGGCATTCGGACTACCCTTCGCAAAAGATTTAAATGACGAAACGTAGGACAAAAAACGTAAATAAATATGAACGCGTTGCGTTGCGTTGCAGTAGATTATATTTTATAATACTATAATTGATTACAACATTGTTTAAGACATAGTTATTGATAAATATATACACGTGATAATAAAATGGAGAGTTTGCTAACCTGGAGATAAGCGGCGTTCTGCTCCGCCGTTAACCCTTCCGCCTGCAACAGTCTGTGTGAGGCGCCAGTCGCACTGTGTTCTGCGTACTGCATGTCCCCATGTTGGAGCCGCCTCATCCGCGAGCTGTTCGCCGCCGATTTTGATGCACTGAATCCGTCGGTAATTACTCTCGTCGAAGACGCCGAGCTCGACCGAGCCGCGCTGTACTTCAATTCGTTCGCAGCACTCGATCCTAAGGACGCTATCGTAGCAGACGCGGGAGCCAACAAACATGGTTTATCGGGAGGCGGGGTGTCCGACTCGGGAAAGGTCACTAGAGGACCGTCCCCCGCGAGGTCCGTCATATCACCCATGTCACCGATATCCCCCATCTCCCGGATATCTGGGATGTGTCTCTCCTTCATATCGTCCTGGTCGACAATATTCTCCATTGAACTTCGCAATCTGTAACACGAAAGCTGAATTCTTTTACGAGAAAATACACGTCTATTGTATATCGATGCGAAACTACGGACTAGTCCCGAGGAAATTATACGTTACGAAATTGGCGAGTGGCCAATAGTAGCTCAGGTGGGATAGTTATCTTTTGCGACCATTAACAAAACGAAGTTCGGCCTTTTCGGAATACGTCTTATAATAAAAGTACCTTTGTCCAAAATTTAAAGCTGCCGTGTTGCTCAGGGTCTTCATTTCGGATATGGAGCTCTTTAGTTCGGATAAGTCAGATTTGATGGAGCTGGCCCTTTGAGATGAACTTTGAACGCGCTGGCTCGAGGCCGCGCTGCTCGATGTAGAACTAGACACCATCTGGCAGATGAAAATTATTGGTATCTTATTTGTGCGACATGCACACTTTATTTATAAGTACATCACAATATTAGCAGTCACCATGAACACAGAAAGCAGTAGAGACTGGGGAGTAACACAGTATACACTTCGTACACAGTCATCATCTAGACAAGCACTGATTTCAGTGCCAATGCTTCGGTTTGCACAGCGTCACGCGTGTTGGCGTAGGGATAAACACCTATAGGTGCTTATGTCAATACATTGGTAAAAATAAACATGTTCATAAATAGCGTACCGATAACAATGCCTACTTATATGTAATATACGAGTGATCAAATATAATTAATTAAAAAATTATTGAAAAGTTAATAATATTTCATGACCTAAGCTATAATCAAGTTCTCGTCATTTTGTTACAATTAAGAAAGGTGATTGTAGAAACAAAATAATAACTGGAAATTACTGACTCAGAAGGCGTAGGAGGATGCATCGAGGCTTAACCTTTGCTGTCTATCGAAAGACTTTAACGGTTTTTGGACTTACGTGATTCATAATTGAGGTTTCAATTTCTTTGTATTATGTTTAGGTTTTTGGGACATGTGAATCACGTATCCAACAATTATACGATTCAAAATTTCTGATACACTTTATTATTTGAACTTGCTTTTGAAACTTTTTGATAGAATATTACAGTAAATTTGTAAAATTTCATAGACACAAGACTAAAGTGCTGTGCAAATCACTAAAAGCTTCATGTGCATCGGAATCCAGTTAAGAATATCGCCTGTAGGTTCTTCAGGAATAAATTCTTGCTGTATAGCTAGTTATTGTGTAAGAGTTTTAATTTGTTTAAAATTAATTAATATTTGTATAATTTATTAGAACATAGATTTCAATAAAATCTACAACATAAAAACAATTATAGTACATCATATTATATATACATATATATTATATAGTGTTGCATTTGGATGTATGCCAGCTAGTATGCTTTGTATTGCAGTTGGGTAAATGTTGTAATTGATTAGGTATATGTGAAATGTGAATGGTAGAGTTTTTCAACATAAAAATATATATCTATAACTTTCACACAAACTACCTTAATAATGCATTGTGTACACATGAATTACCTAATTTTAACTAAACAAAACTTTATTTTTGATGGATTTTTATTTTCTATGTAATGTACCAAATTGAGAAAGTAGATAAATTCTAGTATTAAATTATTTTAATTAGCTGATAGGACTTTATTTATTATTTTGATAATTAATAAGAAATTTGAGTTATTCACATCTACATCAAATTTGATTTAACATTTTCAGTTCGAGTAAAATAAATAAATCAGTGGCACTATAACCTTTATAGGTCTGGTCCCTCAAATTATTTCTGAATCTGTTTCATGATAATTTGTCAATCTAATAAACAAGAAGATGATCAGCCTCCTGTGCCTGACATACGCCGTCGACTTTTTGGGTTTAAGGCAAGCCGGTTTCCTCACGATGTTTTCAATGCGCACATAGAAAGAAAGTCCATTGGGCACAACCGGGGATCGAACTTACGAATTCAGGAATGAGAGTCAGTCAGTCAGTCAGAGCCACTAGGCCAACACTGCTCCAGTTCGAGTAAAGGCACGTTTTGTAAAAATAATGATAATCGCTTTGACGAAAATGGAATTTAAACTGAGTTCAAAATGTATTTTTATTTTATAAGATGTAGTTTTTCGTTACTGAATATTTATTTTTCCCTCAACTCGCGTTTGCCGTTTTCAAAATAAACATATTTTATGTACGGACCGAGGCCGCCACCAAAATAACTTTTAGTAAACTATATTTAATACTATTTCCTAACATGTCGCCACCTCGTATACAACATACAACCATTCCCGTACATTTAATGTACCTAAGGTATTACAACCTAACTACTAAAAAGCGAAAACATAATTATTAGAAACTTGGCCTATATGTTTGTTCGCGGCTCTAGAGTTTACACGGGATAGGTTTTGGATGAGGTCAAACTGGTAACAAGAACTGCAGAAAATTCAATAAGTAATAAATCCTATATACTGCAAATATTATAAAGAGGAAATATTTGTATGTTACACATTTATTCCTAACTAGCTGCCCCCGCGAACTTCTTTTCGTCTTTATATGATTATTTTTACTTAGCCCACCTTTTTAGTAGCTACCTACCAACATATGGAACATTTTGCTATGCCACAAAATAAGTACTGAATAAAACTATATTTTTCCATTTATTAAATATATTTTTTCAATTTTTAAATTTCCAAGTCCTAGTAATAAGTAAAAAATATATAAATAATTTTTATAGATACATGTATATTAAATATACTAGTATAAAATATATTTTCCTATAGTGCAGTACTGGTGCAAGAGGGCGGAGCTCTAGTAATAATATGGATTTGTCTTGAAACGTGTTAACGCCCACGCGAAAATTCATTGATTATTCAAATAATTATTGAATACGACGCAAAAGTTTAAGATTAACTTGTTTGCGGTGTTTATTTTCGAGATAAGAACCGGTATCGGTATCAGAAGTCGTTTTAACACCGTTTATAAAATAGTTGCCTATCTATTATTGAATAATTAAATTAGTCTCTATAATTTATTATATACTATTTTTTTATCGTAATAGGAGGCAAACGGGCAGGAGGCTCATCTGATGTTAAGTGATACCGCCGCCAATGGCGACTCACAATTACCAAAAGGCTCGCAAGTGCGTTGCCGGCGTTTTAAGAATTGCTACGCTTTTCTTGAAGGACCCTAAGTCGAATTGGTTCGTAAATACAGTAAAAAGTACTGAATATTACAAGAAAGAAATCCTATCTTGTATATCCAATATATAAAATTCTCGTGTCACAATGTTCGTTCCCCTACTTCTCCGAAACGGCTCGACCGATTCTTATGAATTTTTTAATGCAAATTCAGCAAGTTTGAGAATCGGCTACTATCTATATTTCAAACTCCTAAGTGATAAGGGGTGTCCACCCCAAAAAAAAAAATTTTTTTTGTTTTTATTTTTTTATGATACAGCATACAACCCTTAATTTCACCCCTCTACGATCTACCCCTATTTTTATTATAGTAGATAGTTATTTTTATTGAAGTAAAAAAAATGTTTCCTTTTTCCTCAAAAATAATATACATGACAAAACAACGTTTGCCGGGTCAGCTAGTAATATGTAAAAGAAAATCCTTTTCAATCCCAGAACTCCTTCTTATCATAAAAATTAATTTATATCCTTGGAAATTTTGGAAATTCCATCTCACAGCTCATCCTTTTTACGCAAGTCTTCTAGGATTTCCACCAAGCTATGGGTATTTCATAACCTTAGCTCCCCGATATCCCATATGATTAACTAACTCTGTAACGTTTCTCAAAAGTCTTCTTCATAAACACCTCTTAACTACATCTTAACACATATATATCCATTCCATTCAATCCTGACTTTAGTAATTGCAATTATATTTTTAAGATGTATCATTATCAGTTCTGTAATTGTATAAGTCTGTTTTTAGTAATTTTGTTATATATTCTGTTATTGCACTTTACGGTTTTTTTTTTTTCCCCCCCGGGGGGGGGGGGGGGGGGGGGGGGGGGGGGGGCCCCCCCCCCCCAAAAATATTCTATTTTTCATCAACGCTTAATGTAATGATTTGATTTTTTTTACACTATTTAAGAAAGCTCTTGACGTATGCGTTGTTACTGAGTGAGTACATCGTGTTGTTATAGATAGAGAAATTTAGTAGCGATGGTTTATATTGTTTTTAATATACGGAGTGTCAGTTACACACTACTCATTTGAAATCAGGAAACACGTCATTTTGTGTTTCTATTTCCAAAAGAGAGTCCGCGATATCTAATCCCTACTCATAGCTATCATCATAATATAATGAATCTATAATATATATCTTTATTCATATCAAACTTTTAAAAAAAATCACATATAGCATTGTTATGGATTTGCTATTTAGTCACATACAACAGAGATAACATATACTAATTACTCGTTATTATTGGAGGAAAAAAAAAGAAAAAAAGGAAAAAAAAAAAAAAAAAGGAAGGAAATTTATATTTTTTTTTTTTTTTTTTTTTTTTTTTTTTTTTTTTTTGGTTTGGGGGGGGGGGGGGGGGGGGGGGGGGGGGGGGGGGGGGGGGAACACCATTTTTTTTTTTTTTTTTTTTTTTTTTTTTTGTTTGGGGGGGGGTTTTTTTTTTTTTTTTTTTTTTTGTGGGGGGGGGGGGGGGGGGGGGGCGCGCGTTTTTTTTTTTCTCCCCCCCCCCCCCCCGCCCCCCCCCCGGGGGGGGGGGGGGGGGGGGGGGGGGTTTTTTTTTTTTTGGGGTTTTTTGGGGGGTTTTTTTTTTTTCCAGGGCGGGCCCAAAGGGAAAAAAAAAAAGAAAAAAAATTTTTTTTTTTTTTGTTTTTTTTTGATTTATTTAATCATTTCACAATATTAGGCAAAATCCTAAGATAAAATATCGAAAAATAAAAACTCGACAAAGTACCTACCTACGCGATAGTATGCGCTTGATGCAATTTTATTCTTTATCACAAAATATATAAATAGATTGATTATCATAGACACCTAGTATATTATAAATGAGAACAAATATTTTGTATTCCACTTCACGTCATAGGATTTTGCATTTAGAATGCCAATTCAAAACACTTGATTAAACATACATATGTATTATCTTAGCATTCTTACCTGCTGTTTCGATGAGCTCGAGACTTGGGTATTGAGGGTCTGATTCTGTCTGGAGACCAGGCTGGTCTTTTTGAGGTTCTCCATGACCGAGGCGAGGTCCTTGGCACTGCCGTTGTGTTTCAAAGTGTTGTTGCCATCCAAACCAAATTCTGGTATCTATAACAATAGATTAGTCTAAATTATATAAACTATAAGCCACATTAAACAATTGAATCGCACCTCTCGCTAAATTTAATTTAGAAAAAGTAATAAGAGTTGCTAAGGAAGACAAACAAGGTGTTTTGTGAACTATACAGGTGTATAACCGGAAATTACACCCGCATTAATTATAACAAGCCGCAAACTAACAAAAAATTATTACATAAATTTTAACTTTACCCTGTTCTACGCTGAGAGCGTTAGTGAAATGATAAAAACGTTTGGTCATCGAATAAACATGGCCTATTTCGATATGATAGGTGATCGTCTTTATTAGTTTTCCGAGAAGCATTTAAAATTCAGCACAAGGACAATATGAGTGAGTTGAACAGGGTCAAAGGATCTATTAAGAACGTAACGTTATCTGCCGCTGAGTCATGGGAGAGTTCGACTTTCAATCAGATGTACACGTGCGGCCTTAAAAGCCTCACCCGCATAAGTGCGCTTTTCGCTTGTCAAGAGATTCATTCTGCTAAGGAAGCCACGCCCGCCCGTGGATTACTGTACAAAGGATTTTGAATCTGAACAACGTAAGGCAAACGATTCACGCATACGAAGTGCATATTGATGGACTTCACTGAGGTGTGGTCAAGTATTCTGTCGAATGTTTGGCTCCACAGTTTGCAATCGATCAATGCTATCGTATAAAGGGCCCTCAATCAATTTCTTCCATCGTTAAAAGACAGAATTACGCCATTCTGAATGAAGGTTTATGACGTGATTTTAAATTGAGCTGCCATTTAATCATCGTTAGTATTATGTTACAACTCGCGCAATCGTTTTGATAGTGTAATATGTTAATTGACATTACGAGGAATCCGTTGAAGATGTATGACGAGTTGTGACGTCCGAGTTGATGTCATGAGCACGCGTGCGAGGCAGCGTGGCCTCTTATCTCAGTTTACAATAGATATTTACACCGAATTGCTTCGAATTATTTAAAATATACAGAGCTGTTTATTGATTATCTCTATATATATAAAGTTCTCGTGTCACAATGTTCGTTCCCATACTCCTTCGAAACGGCTCGACCGATTCTTATGACATTGTTTATGCATATTCAGTAAGTCTGACAATCGGCTACTATCTATCTTTCAAACCTCTAAGTGATAAGGGGTGTCCGCCCCGATTTTTTTTTAAATTTTTTCGTAATTTTTTTTTGTTTTTTTATAATACATCATACAAAAATACATACAACCCTTAATTTTTACCCCTCTACAATCAACCCCTATTTTATTATTCATAGTTATTTGTTATGTTTCCTAGAAATAAGATACATGGCAAATAATATATATACATGGGAAAACGTTTGCCGGGTCAGCTAGTATTATATATTTATTGCACTTACCTTTTAACCAAGAATGGTAATAGTATAACAATATTCTTCGATTTCTTAAAATTGTGGTTTTGAACTACAAGGAGAATTCCTATTGATACATGCAGTGATTTAATTGATAACTCAATCAGAGATAAACGATGACTAACACCGATAGAAAGATACGATCCGGTAACATAACAGGTCAATAAAGCGTGACTCATGATTCTCAGAAATCTCGTCACAGTTCCAGAGATGTTATGCAATTTTTTGTACTACAATTTTACGTCATAGGACCGAGTCAGACGATGACGATTCCGTTCATGTATGTTTCGTTAAACAACAGAATGTGTTAGTTCAAAAACAGCATTTGCTTTGTACTAGCAATAATATCTAATATATCTCCTCTAAATCATTTAACAGGTAAAGATCCGCAGGAATGTCAAGAACGCCTACAAGGGTCAATGGTGCGTAATAATAATGTGTTTAAAAAAAAAAACTAGTTCAAGTCAACCTATCGAAAATTATTTGTGTTTTTCATCGCTTTGCATTGGAATTACAATATTATTAAAATAATATAGTTAGCTGGGTTTTCCCCATGATTGTGACAGAACCTCAATGCATACTAAACGATTGTTATAACTTCCCGTCGAAACCAGATTACAACAATTATTTAAAAGCCCATCCACACGCTTGACAAACAATGGCAAACAGCTAACAGCAAACAGCAAACACGGACGTGTGGATGGGTGTTTGTCGTTGTTTGCCTGTTTGTGTTCGTGTTGGGCAGTGTTCGGCATCGGTGTCGGTTTATCTTGCCAGATCAAAGGATGTTTGGCAAACAGTTTGCTACGTATCCACACGTTTGGCAGCGATCAGTATGCGTGCGAGCTTGCGGGAGGCGGACGTATTTACTTGCTACACTTTCGTTGGCGCGCAAAGCGTAAAAAATGTCTGATTGGAGCACCTACGATTCTGACATTTTTAAGTAACTTTTAAGTAAAATTAAAAAAAACACGGCAAAGTAAAGCTCAAATAATAGGTCTAAAGCCTTGTACGCTTTCTATGTATTTTAATCATCCACCATCGTCTTTGCTTTCTTCTTTTTTTCCTTTTTTCTTTCTCTTGCTTTAATTTATAATAAAAATATGTCAACCCGAAAGTAATAGCTGCAACAAGCTCGTCGTCCGCCATGTTTGCCGATTCGGAATGTTATGAACGTTCGCCAAGCATGTGGATGGCTGTTTGTGTTGGGTGATTGTGGTTGGTGTTTGGGACTTCGTTTGCTTTTTGCGGTGTTTGTGACAAACAGCCAGCGTGTGGATGCCCCATAATAATACACATTCCAGCAAACACTTGAAACTTATAGGATACATAGAAGTAGGTGCTTCAATAAGCCCGATAGTCAATGATAAAACTATTTACTTTGCCATTATATTTATAATCGAGGAAGTGCCAGTTGCGAGATCCATGCAAAGAGAATAATTAATAAACCAATATCGGTGATAGGCAAATCAGGCCGTACGCATTCCGCGCATGAGCTTAGCGAAGTGACATGCTCAATTTCAACCTTATGGTAAAGTTTCATGAACACTTTTGCAAAAGTTGCCAAGAACAATTGTTGGTAAGCATTAGATTCACCCGTCGCACGTCAGGAGATGCATTATTGTGAAGGTCAGTTATGCATTCACAATAGTGCATGCGCGATAAACGAGATAGTATTATATAACGTCTTCAGCAATTTTCAATGTACATTTTATTTTTATTATATCACTGGACAATAAGGAAAAGTTTATTACGAATGTATGTCAAATAAATTAAATTGGGAGGAAAACTCAAACTAGATCAGGTAAATATAGGAATTTAAAGTGAAAAAAATTATTACTATTTATTTGAATGTTCATTATGCATATTTTATCGCAATCCGTTCCACTCGCAATTTATGAACACTTCGTTCAAGATAATAACTGTGTAGGTATTGAGAGAGGAAAATTTGCTCGGGGTATATTAAATAGGATACAATTTAATAATGCTAAAACTAAATATGCTAATAATAATTTGTGTTGATCACACAATGGTTTCAAACTATTCTAACCAAAGCGAGCCTAACTTTACCTCGCGTTCTGCCGAAATTTATTGCGGGAGCAATCCGAATAAAACGTCCATTGAGCGCATAGTCACAATACTTCTTTTATAAATAGTGGGAACGTATCAATTAGGTATCGTGTTCAGCCAATAACTTAACAATCGACACGTGCCCATCTCGCGGCGAATGCGGCGTGACTGGTTAGCTTGGCCGCGGAGTGCCGGCCGGCTGATCGCAAACTTTACCCAACAACCACAATGGGTAATTAGAATGGCGAGTGGAGCGGGGTGCGGGGCGAAGAGGCCCATACTCTACCCACCCACAAACCTTCGCATCCGCTTTTTAGAGTAATCTGGTGATAAAAGATAAATTTATGAGCACCCCCCCTCGGCAACTCAAAGTTCAACCATAACTTATGTTTTTTTCATACAAGACAGTCTTATCTCATGATAGTTTGAGAGAAATCGTATTCATTATCAAGAATGTCACAGAAGACGATATACATATAATGGAAGCCAGTTACGTGCTACTGTTAATGTAAATCGAAGATGTAAAAGATGTTTATTGTAACTGGCTTATAGCTATACTAATAGGACGTGGGAGAAATAAAAAGATTTGCACAGAAATAATATTTTCACGACAATTCTGTCGTACAGATAAGTCAATGACCTTTCAATGTCAGCAAGAGACTGAAGCGGTGCCGGATTATTGCCATTATCAGTTAATGTATGGTTGCCATTTATGCGAATTTTAGTTCTGATTTAAACGATCGTTTTGTTATCTTAGTTCTCAAATACGTGATTAGAAGAGATTGGCGAAAAATTTCCATACTATTAATAGGAACGATGCTACTAACATTTATTTATATGCATATATAAGATAGCTAATGCAATAAGAATGTTTAATTTATGGTATTTTTATAGTTGCTGTATAAGTAGAACAAATCACAAGAAACTTAATCTGAGTCACGATGCATACAGTTTTACTCATTTCACTATGACTAAACTTTGTTTCATTCATAATAATCCAATGTTTACAGGCGAATTTATAACTTAAATATATTATTATTGATAGATAAGACATCGATTAGAGATAATTGTTTCCGTTACCGATGCTCTGATTAGGAACTTTGATCAAATATTTATCATAGAAAATATACGGAAGGAAGAATTAGTATATCTGTGTTACTGTTTGATTACCAATCGAGAGGATTCAATTATTCTTGGTGAATTTCTTTTTTGCGAGAGAATATCTATGATAGAAACGAATTTATTGTCTTTGGTTTGTTGACCGAGATCTACTTAACCGTATGCAAATTAGCAGTGTTTATTGATTCATGTTTTTATTTCAGTTTTTCGGCAAAATCAAATAGTCTAATATTTATTAGCGATGCGTATTAAGACATTTCTATCTAAATACTTTTAGAATGAGTTTTGTGTGAGTCATAAGTCATTCACGTGCCGGCTTATCGAAGTAAGGCATAGGCTATACCTTCGGAGCGTGCGCTGGCGCAGGCTTCATAGCAATGACTCAGCCCACGCATCCTGTTCCACCTTTGTAGCACTTTCACAATTTTCATTTGTAGTCTACGCTGCACTTTGTTCTTTTTATTCTAAGAATCGATATGATTCTGAATCGATTATGATTTTATAGGAAAACGTAAATACTCTATTTACTTAGATCAGGAAATTAACACTTTATTAAACAGTTGTTAAAGCATGTGTCGTAATATTATAGACAAAAGGTTTTGATTGCGGTTTTTCCATTTATTGCATTGCTCAGTGGTGGTAATATATAATGTTACAGCTGAAATTCTAATAAATTATTAAAGAATACACAGTTTCAACGATGGGATATAAATGGTTTCACTTAATTTACTCAAGCATTAAGGTAACAAATCAATTTTGATTCGTAATTTTTTGATTACTCATCATCATATCATCTTTAAGGAAGTAAAATTTGATTTACTGTTACAAAGATACATTATACATATCAATCAGAAATCAATTAGATATTTATATCATAGCGTATCTTTGAAGACCGGTCTAAAAACACAGATAGAGTAGTTAAAAACAAGTTCTCTCATCCTTCTAATTGGAAATAAAAACCACTTTTAAGGCAATAGACGTTAGTAAACAAGAATATGAATAATAAAATGAGTAAACAACGTCTGCGGAAGATGGGAATTAGGTTTGATTAACTTCCGGAAGTTTGTAACTTTTATTAATCACATAGGATTATCACGATTTAAAAGCACGCTCCTTTTACTAAAGTTTGTATGTGTGATAATTTTTATTTGTATAATTTAACTACATTTGTTTACGGTTCGCTAGTCCGTAAATAAGTATAGATTATTACAATGTCGTAACTGTTTTATTAAAATATCCGAAACAGGACGAAAAATTGCTTTTCTTCTAGGTATGATATCCTTAACTAAACAATTTTATTCAATCATTTATAAATGATAATTCCCGTTCAGAGAAAAAGTATTTCTATGACAAATACTATTTTAAATCTCAAAGTCATCCATAGATGAGACATATGAACTGATAAGCCTATCAGGTTATGATAAAGTTAGTTCTTTTGTAGGAAAATGTTACGACATTTCCTCAATCTTTATCTTTTAACGTCTTTGAATACAATGATCTAGAAGTTAGAGCTTTTGATAAGATAATATATATTTTACTAATGTTCATTACAATAATTATTATATTTAAAATGTAAATAGTAAAATAGTCATGTAGCTTTAATAATAAAAAATCGTTTATTTGCAAAGAAAGTGGAACAATCAGTTTGATTAATTATACAAAAAAATACACAATCGGCCATATACAAATAAGCATGCAAATGTCATATAAATGATCATAATGTCTTAATAATAAGAACAGTTAAGATATTGATAATTGTCAAAACTTATGGTCTAAATACTCTCCCTATAAAGGCACCTTCCCCTTAAAAGCATTACACGGCAGTGATCTACAACTTCTAGGAAGGTGATAACTGATAAGGTAGTTTGATAGCCATTTTTTTAAATACATCTTGTGCAACATGCAAGCACCTTTAACTACATAATATGAAATCTCTAATTTATAATTGTTATGACATAGACTTTTATTACTAACAAAAACACACAAAATAACAATAATCAAAGAAAAAATATGAGAGATATAAAAAAAATCCCTTTTCCCATTCGGTTCGTTTCAAGTGTGTAAATGCGTGTGTGCTGTGGCTGTAATTGGCCCTGGCTCAGCATTATGCTGAGGAGCAGATGTTCCACAGCGCTGGTCATTCTGCCAGAGACCACACAGCAGCTAGTTTGCGCCTCAGTCGCAAAAGAGAAAGAAAAGGAATGTAATAAATACTTAGTAGAAAAGAAATAATAAAAGTTACCAGTGTACGTAATGAAAAAAACAAAAAAGTGGAAGACAACTTAGAAGGTGGTTTAGACCTTAGACCAAATTAACGAAACAGCGTACATGGCAGGGGAGAGGAATGGCAGGATTTGGATGAAGTCTGCCAACAAAGGGCACACATACACCTAAAAGAAGAATGAAATAGAAACGTGTTAAAATGTAAAAGTATCTGAATTAAAAGGCTATTATTATACATACAGCAGTGGGGAGTTCTAAATAACAGGGTTTCGAAGAGATCTAAAAGCAAAACATGCTAAGCAAAGCGTCATACCCATCGTGCATTATTTGTGGTTTTTTCTGGTGTTACGAGGGATTCCTCTGAACGCACCTGAAACGAAATTTGTACTTGAAACGCTAATCGATTTTTTTTGTTTTAATTATGTAATATAATTATTTATGACCCCTGTCGTTGACCGAGCCTGTGTGTAACGCTCTTTGGACTTGGTGGCTTAATCTGCGTACATTTAGAAGTCGTCTTTTTATTTTAATAGGCTATTCCTAAACGTATGTAATTTATGAATAAATAAATAAAGCTTTAGTTGACACGCTTGAGGTGGAGAAATGCTTCACGTTGTCTCTCTCCCTCCAACATGTGCGTAGGAGGCTATGACTGGCCATGCTTCCGCAAAAACTTGGCGAAGACTTTCTTACCAGTTCCTCTCGCCCGCTCTACCCCTTTAATATGTGATCTGGTAGTAACTTTAGGCCTTAATGCGGAAGTTTATTAGACCTTCCAATTGGAATACTTAATATGGACTTTCATAATTGCACATAGTTTCCAATATCATCTAATTTATTTCGATTTAATTTGACAAGTTAATTAATATTTAGAACAATACAAATCTTAAATTGTACTAACGAATAAGTTACCTATATTTAATGAATCATAGATTATAAATAAATGACTGAAGTTCATTTACCTTTCTGATGTGTGTCAGATTTATTATTGGTCTTAAGTTATGTCAGATTTGTTTAGCCAAAGACCTATCTCGAAGCTTTGGTATATTACAAATATCATAATATACTCTATTTAAAGCAGAGAGCCCCATCTTCATTTAAACGGAAGTTAACGTCTTTATAGATCGTAAGTACATTGTTATCAGTGGGCTGAAGATAAAGTGATTTAAATCGTCAACGTCCAATAATTTGAATTCAGTGCGAGCAATTTAATTCAGCTTAAGACGATGCGTGGGCACATTGCATTGCAGCTCATAAGTGCGTTATAAAACTCGATAAGTGTCGCGTCAGTAGGCGGCCGGAAGAGCCAGGCCGACCGCCGAGTGTTAGTGGACTTCCTACTTAGACGGCTTGCTATTCGACGGAAACGCTATTTTTGGCGCCCACAGTTGCTTCCTCCGAGGAAAGTTTTCATTCATTCTCTTTTCATTTTAGAATATACATAGTTCCCTAACATCGAGCAATGATGTCTATGTCACTAGCATTACTTTCACTTTTTGAATACCTGCTACAAATGAAATGATAAAATTCCTAATCAATGAATGTTATCAAACTAAAAAACCGATAACTTTGCGGAAGAAAATTACGCATACTTTTATGAAGCTCGCAACGAGCTGGATAACAAAAAAGTTTACAAAAGGCTTCGGGATACATTCCTTACTGCATTCTTTACTCCCCTTAAAGCTTCACCATGCCCATCAATATAGATTGGAATTCGAAGTATGAGTTTGTCATCCTTTATAGGGAAACCAAAACGTGATTTATGAACTTTAAAGGTTCCAGAAGAGATAAACATTGCTAACGATTTTTTAAAATTATTTTATTTATATTTTACGTGTACACATTTAGCAAATAATTTATCTAAACTAACAACGAAATTCAGTTATTAGCGTTGTATTTTGTATGCAGTTTATCAATTTCGGCAAGATCAAAGAAATGTTAAACTATACCAATTAGTACTGTTAAGGTTAAAATTCCCTTGTTAACTGTGTCCAGATGTAGCGGATATGCCCTTTAACCTGAATGTGCTGTGAAGAAATCTCGCCTTTATAGTATTTATATTTGGTCCAATCTTCGCATTTATCTTTTGCAACGTTTGTAGGTCACATTTATACAATTCACATTATGTACTGCAGTGGACCTTGTACGGACATTAAGCAAACGTGTTATAAATAGCACATGTGAATGCAAAGCAGGAAAAAGTGTACATTCCCTTTCTGGATAGCGAAACCAGGTTTCGGGTTCTCTTCGTCACATTATGATTTGTTTAAACTGTAGCTTATGAGTAAACAGAAGCTTTCTCTCGGTGACTTTGTTGACATAACCAATATCCATAATATCTTGTTAATATTATAAACATATTGCTTTTTAGTAATATATTTTGTTAACTCTAAATCCAGACAACAAATTTAATCGGTTTGAAAGTGTGTCTATAAATCCTTAACCGCAATACATGCCTTATTTTAGAATTATTATTAATTTCTGTACCTAACAAAATAGCCTTACCCATTGTCAAAGTTTTAAAATTATAATCGTTTTATTTTAATCCATTTTTACTTGGGAGTAAATTTAATATGTAGAATTTAGATTAAAGCTAGAAAGCTTTGTACAATACATACGTCAGATATCTGCGATATCAATTAGGTATTACTTATTACTTATGGCAAGGACAGCCCACACGCCTTTGTGATAATTTCATCGTATAATTTTATAAATTTTAATTGATGTACGCCATAAAAAGCTCGTAGATCATTATTTCAACTACGTTTGGTATCTAAGTCCTTTTTTGGTACATAGACGATAATTTAATGCTACAAAGAAAAATATCCAGTTCTCATTTAATTGAAAATATTTTATATTGAATAAAAGAAAATGAAAATAAACAGGCTGGCTTTATCCTACAGTCAATGTGACAAACACAAGGAAAACGTTTTTAAAATTTGATTGATATCATTTGATTCCAAATTACTGAGTTAAATAATATATGTGTTGATAAGTAAATGCGTCTAGTGAAAGTTGTTCCTTACCTTCTTTGGAAAGAAAATTTTCGGTTTTCCAGTGTACGTGGTATAGGAAGCCATATTTTCTACTCTCGTAACAACCATAATTTGTTTAAACAATAAATACCACGAAATTACACTTGAAAATATGGGCTTCGAGAAGTTTCGGTAGTCACGTGCCAACACGTAGAATAATAGATCCCAATTTTCAACTACACTTCGTTTGCGAGTAAAAATCACACAGATTTCCTTTTTTATCTCAATATTTATTCTTAGCCATAAAGAGTCTAGACATCTCCACGTCACTCTCGTTTTGCAGCTGTTTTGTTTCGTATATAACTTAAATAGCGTTGTTTTGACAACACTTACTTATTATAACAAAATCACTCATTCAATTTATGTCACATTTTGGGAAGACGCGATCGCATAATCCGTAACATAATACGTAACACCGCGCTTGGGGTTCGCACTCCGCTGTAAACTGAATTTTCGTATGCCTCGACTGTTGGTTTTTATCATTCAGAGGGGAGCTCCCCGCACGCTCACTATCTCCTTCTCTCATCCATTCACAACATAAATAAAAGGCGATAGCATCATTTACGCGCTTCACCCTTCGTAATGCTTGGAGATACAGGCTTTGTGAGCGTGTATGTTATTATGACGACTTTATAATATAAACTGTGCAATAATAATATTGTACGTTTGACGTTATGATATAAGAACAAACAAATGCGCGAAGAAGAACAACCAACGGGACAACAAGTGAAAAAAAGTGCCCCATACATCTGAAAGTGTGTGAAGTGAAAAAGAGGTCACATTAGATGATAATTTTTAAGAGTATTAATTACTACTTACATAATTTTTTATTAAAGTAATAAGATAGATGTTTAGTTGATTTTTTTATTTTTGATGCTTCAATCGGGCCACGTGTAAAATCTGTTATAGTCCCGTAGTTTTCTATATAACTACGGGAGTAATATAGTTCGCAATAAAAATTCTACATTTTTGACGTGCGGAAATCAGACTTACGCTAAGTCTCGTTTCTGAATCTTACCCAAGTCCCAGTGGCGTAACTATACCATCTGGGGCCCGAGGCAAATCTTCTTTCGTGGCAATTCTTTTGATGGGGCCCTATTAATAAAAATCGTCCCTTCTCAGTTAAATTTTAATAAACTTCGAGATTTTCAGCCTACTCAATTACACGTTATGTATACGTATGTCCCACTAATGGCCATAGGCCTCCTCTCTTAGGCAGGGAATGGTCTGTAGTCCCCACGCTAGCCCAATGCGTATTGGAGACTTCACATTCATCCATAGAACATGATATCTCTTGGGTCGGGGGCCCGTGGCATTTTGCCAGCCCTGCCACCCTATTGTTACGCCACTGCTAAGTCCGAAACCTAATCGGTAACTACGAACGTACTCCTACTTAGCACCAACAGGTACCGAGCACAAACTGACTCGGAAAATTACGGTTTATTTATTTTTAAATGAAAATAACGATACTCAGATTTTTACTTAAGAGTATTATAATTTACTTACTTTCTCTGATTCACAAAATTTGTTATTTTTGTAACCCCAGCCAAAGTGTGCGCATCTTAAAAATTTAGGAAAAACGCTCATCAATAATTGATCGCAATAACATAAACTAATCAAATAAAATTGGCCATTGGTCTGAAGAATGAAAAACATATCTTTTCTAACATAATTATGTATTTCGTTTTAATACAATGGATTAAGACCAAAAAGTAAAAATGTTTTAATATTTTATAGTTAAAAGGTTTATCGAAATATATCTGTATCTATTGCGTTTGCGTACTTTTTACATACACCATAATAAATCACCGACACCCTGCAGACAAAAGCACACAAAAGTGACACATTCGCGGCGTCGGCGGCTTTTGAAACATGAACCACTGCAAGGCAATTCTACCCTGGCGCCTCGACATGATGACTAAAATTCACGCTATTTTCGGAAACATTGAGTCAAATATATATCTTATTATCATACAGCTAGATCTTAGTTCTATATGTTGTTCATTTAGCACCATCCAGTGCCACAATGCACAAATAATAAAATGCGTTGCAAAGTTATTAGAAGCCCTAGGAGATTTAGATTTTGGAAACAGATAAGTAATTTCATAATAAAAATCCAGAAATACAAGTAAAATCAAACTATTAATCCACTAAATATTTCTTTGAAGAATTTGAAATAATTAAAACTGCTTTTTTTAAGTCGGTTAAAAAAGGCTTTTACTAAATGTCTGTATGCATCTTGCTATTAATATCACATTTATTAATTAAATAATTATGAATTAAATACTAAACAAATTATACAAAATATTACTACATAAAAGTGCAGTTAGACATATCTATCTAAAGTCTCCCACTTCTAAAACGTGAGAGACAACTGGACCGAGAGATTTGGATAAGAAGGCGGATATTTTAGACAGATTTGTAATAAAAGTCCCGCTATTTTATATACTTACGAGTTTTAACATGTCTTGACTAAGTAATTTTTTTTTAGTTTATTAAGTGGAAATAATAAAGTAAAAAAAAAATTGACTACGTTTGACTGCAGTCAATTGACTATTAATTATCATATCCTTAACATCTTTTTGCGATAGTAAGTTAGTAGGAACTATCACTAGACGTATGACTTAATTGATAACAGATTGAATTCATCATCTCTATGTAGACAGCAAACAAAAATCATACTTTGAAACCGTGACGCCCTAAAGTTTTATTAAAAAACCTACCCCCGTTCACTAGAGTCGCGTAGGGCATAGCGAATAGAAGTAGAAAGATATTTATGACGTAAATTTTTGAAGTTATACTTCTTTAGACGCGTTATGAAAAATTGATGAGAGTGAAATTTTACGATGCGCGCGCACCGTGACACAAAATTAACAGAATGAAGTTGCCCACGGAAGATGCTACGGTATTGGACATAATTTAAAAACAACATTCGAATAATAATAGAAGTTATGTTACACTTAATGTAAGAGAATAATAATAAATATTTATTTTTTTAATTTTTCAAATGTAAACTGAACTTTATTGACTATAATGACTCCTTTTCCAGTCTTTGATTATTTAATTGTAATTAATTATTTGCATGCAATCAAAAACTTTTTTTAATAATGCCAAAGAAGTATAACTTCTTACGCGCGTGCATAAGTACACGCACCCCCTTTTTTTATGATGCTCTTTCAAGAAATCCCTCCCCGCAATAACTCATTTTCATGTGGGAAGACCATGCGTAAAAGTTTTGCTATAATGTGTGCTTTCATCTTACAAAAGGTAAATTTAGGAAAAATAGTTTATTACATACCTCGGCAATAACTTTAACACGGGAAGAGTATTTAGCACAAAACTTATTTCCACGTATACAGGTTGTCACAGTTTTCTTCATTTTCATGATTCACGAAATCACAAATCACCTCACACGAATATTTCACTCAGCATACGTCCGTATTAAATAATAGTTTATTTAATACTGTCGCTAAGTTAAAATAAATCCGTGTTCATTTAGACAGATCAGCAATTGTACGACCGATATACGATTCTGCGTTTTACTAATTATGCAATCAAAATCAGTACAAGATTTGACTTTTTCATCACGTACGCTATTCCCGATTACATGACGATAGTAAAAGTATAGTAAACAAAAAAACTTAAAAAGTTTATCCGAATCCCATCTACGAGTTAGTAATGTTTAGATACATGAGTTATACAATTAGAAAAACTGTTGGTTTGACTCAAGACTACTCAAGTAAACTGGCAGTAACTTATACATACATCTGTTAGATATATCTTTGCATGTATATTTAAATATCCATTTTAAAACATCAGGTATTCATTGAGAATGTAACCTATGTACAAAAAAAACTATGCAGGAGTACGTTGACACTTGGTATCTACGATGGACTTCAGAGGTACCTTACTATAAAACTTAAGCTATCACATTTCACTCGTTGATAAGTTTCAGGAATTATTCACAAGCATATTCGGTAAGATTCGGTCAATGCACTTGCGGCAAATCTGAGTACTTTCTGTATTGTTTTAATATTGTGACACCATGAAAATGACGAGTCGATAATTTTGTGTAACAAATTTCGTTGTTACACTAGACGGTATATTAAGGAAATTAACGACTTGTTTTTAAAATACCCTTGAATTACAGTATAATTGCTACATAATTATAATAAAAAATTTATACATAGAAAACTAAAATTAAATTAAAAAGTTTGGTCCCTGTGGAATTTAATGTTGGCAGCATTTCCTCGCTGTATTGCGATACCTACTTATCCGTTAAGCGAGGAAAGCACCAGCTCTGGGGTCACCATTGTCTTAATACGTCTTTGAGATATTGTATTGTAAAGAATATTATTTATTAAATAGTGAAGAATTAAAAAAACTGTATTTTATTGTTTTGTGGCCTAATATCGCTAGCGCTATCAACAAAATTAAAATATAATATGTTAAAACACGAGCACGTGCTAGATATACGTTTTCATCGAAAATCACGTATTTCTTATAGTAAAAAGTTGTTTCTTAATTGCAAATCAAGTAACGCTGACCAGAAGAAATCGGATATTTTCGAGAGCGAGACGCGTGGGAAGTTTTACCAAATTGACGTGATGTAAATAATAATTAATTTCTAGATATCTCTTAACTTGTAGCAAATTAATTTTGTTCAGCTTTCTTATGGGATAAAGCAGTAGATCTAGGTGTGGACTATATTTTATTAAACTCAAAAATCGTATAACTCTTCTGGGTCCAAGCTTAGACAGAGGTCACAACTTAGGGTTTTGCGCAGTTAGGATTAAATATGCTTCAATGAAATCTTACAGTGACTTTAACGTTTGAAGTAATATTTACAGAACACTAAATATATTAACTGCAGTAAAGAAGAAAGGAAACAAAAGATAAAGACTTATCAAGCACGTGTCTTAAACAATAATAAAACAGGGATAAGGTTTCCCCTGCGCAGGCGCAACAATATTTGCATGGCAACAAAAAATAATTAGCGCAACTAAACAATAACTTGCAAAACCTAGAGATTAATGTGGGAGTACGTTCTTTGTTTATTGACGACGACT